ATCTTCATCAATAACAATCTTTAAGTTCGACAACTTGGAGGCATCAAAGATTCGTTTAGACGCCTTTTATCATTAAAACTAAACCACTGACTCCTCGCAGTGATATGCAGTTCTCAATCTACTATGTTGCAGCCTGTCGAAGGTAAAAGAAAAAACGGCCGCGTAACTAGATCGTTCTTCTAGAAGGATTTCAAGAGAGTTTATGTAAACTAATCTCTCACCATCATGTATCAAGTTGTTCCCAAAATAGACAGAAACAAAACAGATATTTATATTAAATAATTTTTTTATTTTCATAGCTTCTTCAATGTAAATTTGCTGCAAAGGCATTAGCTTTCATTGAGCAATCAGTCATGTTTTAATACTCACAAATTCAGCCAAAAAAAGTGGTTTAGACAATGATACACGAAGCAGGAAAAGTACAAAACACAACAAGACAATATCAAATATTTTCTAACTACGTACTCTGTCTTAAATCTGACTCATTTTAGCACCAAGTTCATATACTTGAAACTTTTACCCCAAAGATCTCATTTGTAATTCTCCTTACTTTCTACTACATAATTCCTATGTAGTTAATTCGGAGAATTTGGAATTGGATCAACTATGATAATCCCCAATTGATATTTTCATTGATATTGTAATGAGAAATTATGTCTTGGTCACTCATGGGAGTTAAATAGTTAAATAATTGGTAAATGAAATAGCTGAACTGAACTTCAAATCATGACACATCTTTCAAAACAATTTACAGGTCAATGTAAGTATTTATTCAGAATAACAGTATTTGCAAGGTATTCACTTTTTGCTATTGAAACAGTCTTTATTTTCATAATATAGATGTTTTCACTGGTATAACTTTGATGAAGTGAGTGTTGATTTAACTGTAAACCAAAAAAGGTCTGAAGTTGTATCCCTGAAAAAAATTAAAGATTACCATAGTTCCCAAAAGTGATTAACATGTAAGTTCTCCTTGTAATACCTTAACATTATCAAGCAAGGAGGTCATGAGAATACTCAAACTTATCAGGTAGAAGACGTAATCTTTAATCTAACACCTAATTCTTGTAACGTATTTACAAGGAAATATGCAGCTGCTAGAGGGGAGAATTGACAACCAGATCATGGGAGATAAAAAGTTAACTGTGAGGTTGTTTAGAGTATTCATGATCAATTGTCCCTGATCTTGTTTTCCATCAGAGACAACCACCTTGCAGCTACCAGTATTTTTAATATAAATGGTTTGAACCCAGGAGTTGATCATATGATCTGATCATCCTTGTGAAAGAGGTACCAAAAAGAACTGTTTGCAGTAGAAGTGAGCAGCCCTTCAACAGCTTGGGCAGAAATCTTAATCAGGATAGAGACAACTTGATGTGAACAATTGACTCTGCTGTTGACTTTGCCCAAGTTGTTAGAATATTGTTTTTACCATCAACAGCATTCCTTTGGAGAATACTCTCAACTAACTGATCAAGGATTATAAGATCAATCTTTTAGTTATCTTTCCCAAACATTTCCCAAGTAAACTTTAATTGAACCCTTTGACCCCTGCGAGTGACTAACATCTAAATTCTCCTTATAATATCACTCCTAATTCAAACATTAAGGTCACAAGAATACAAAAAATGAACGCCAACTGAGATGCTTTTGATTGTGAAACATTTTCTCCTTAACAGCACCTCAGGAAATGTATAAAGAACAGTATGGAGAATATGCATATTGATGTGAGAGTGGAAGGGCTAATAATGGCATATGAAAGAACCAAAGAGCCTCATGAGAGCTGAAATCACCATAATACTCCAAAGCTCAAGAACATACCAGGTCAAAATTATCAGGAGCTATCAAAACTAAAAATTTTAGGATTAAATGCTTTAACAATAAACTGCACTCAATCTGCAATCCCGTGCATAGCATTTTGTTTACAGTTTTTGTTTGTATTCAGTTTACAGTTAACGTTCGGTTTATCAGCGGTTCCCCTTTCGTGATTTAAGCAGCAGTCGGTTGTCAGTGAGGTCTACAGTTGACTTCTGCAGTTTGCAAGTTTCTCACCCCGAAATGAAAAACTTCACTGCCACTGCCGTGATCGCGATTTCTTTTAGAATACCTCGCCTCGTTCTTAATAAATTCACATACGACGCCAACAACGTATACTAAATCACGCTTTTGTATTTTTTGTAACACTACTACTGAGAGCGTAAAAAGCAGTGTATTAATGTTATGAGATTAAGACACCAAAACTAGAGGGGATACTCTAAAAAACACTGGCATCCGTACAAAGGTCTATACATTGTAAAATGACCAATGATAAACCTGCGAAAAGCCACGGTATACATTGCAAATTTTGGGTGGTTAAAAATCTCTTGACCCTATCTAATCGTAATCAGTTAAATTAAATACTCTCCAGTGGGTAAGTCACAATAATGATTCACAATCGTGTTCAAATCAAAATAATGTACGCTGTAAATTTTGCGTATCGCTCGACGATTTTAAAGGCAGTATATTCTAGGGAGAATTTCCACGAGTAGTTTTTTAAATATTTGTGAGGCTGGAAGTTAAACCTTTCAGTAAGAAAACTAAGAGAACATTTCAGTCAGCTCAAGAGGTTGTACTTGTCTTGTTAAGCAGAAAAATGAACTCACCTTTCCAGCATGTTAAATCGCTCGGTCAACTTAGGCCGCCATGTTGGATTTTATGTTTCCACTGTTCGACCAATGCGCATCAAGGACCAAAAATAGTAACAATCCCTCACAACAATAGTGAATCGCCTGCTTTTGTTGTTTTTCTTTCTTCTATCTAAATTTTTCTCAGAAAGTGAATATCAAATGAAATTATATGAAAGCAAGCCCTTTGTTATCACGGTTCCAATGATCGAATATTTTTCTCCCGACAAAAGGTGACAGTTGTTGTTGTTGCCCCCTCAGGTCTATCTGCGAAGATGCTCGGTTGACGCCAAGGGTAGGTGTAATGATAAAAGTAATAGTTAAATCTATTTAACTATTACTATTGAGCGGATGTGTTTACTGTTTTTAACAGCGCCAGACTCAAACTTAGGTGCAGTATATTTAAGCAGCTTTCGGTTCCGCGTAAAACTCTTGGATAATGCAGTCAGTTTCCCCGTTCTCAGATCACGCCAGTTTTGGTGATATCACATCCTCAGTCATTCTCAGTGCCGTCCATTTTCATGAGAGGGGGCGGATAATATATTACATTTGACATTTCAAAGGGGGGGGGGGAAAGGGGCTTACATTGAAAAGACAACATTGACTGAACTTATGGTAAAATCAACTAAACAACAACCAGTTTTCCCCTCTAGTATTTAATTACATATTAATATCTTCAGATTTACTGGCTAACTAAGCAATTACCTGATTTTAGTTAAATATTACATAAATTAGAAGTGATTCACAACTGTGCATTACTACCAAATTTTTTCTACAACCTTTCACTTAAATGTACTTGCATTTTGGAGACAAAACCACATGGAAGCCTACAATAGTTATAATTATATCTATATTAATAAAAACAGGTATAAGAAATTAGATGGAGGAGATGTCTTTTTAAAGTGGCTTTGTCAGCATATGGGCTGGCTGTCAAAGTACAATAGAATTTGATTAACATTATGATTGACATTTACTTAGTCTCATAGCCCAATCTATAATTAATAAGGTTTCTTTTGCCAGATATCTCTGATATATTGGGGTGTAAAGGGTTAATTACCTCAGGGGGTTGTTAATTTAAATCTCACAAATCTAAAGGACATTTTGTACCCCGACATTGAACACAAGGCTCAACCTTATTTTTATTTGAGTTTTAGCAAGTTAAAAAAATTCTCCTTGTCAGTACCAGAGTATGGAGAATATGGATACTGATGTAAATAATACTGATGGAAAATCATAAGCAGTTTTGGCCTTCTGATTGCCAAAGAACCAGAAGATACTATGATCACTGCATAGCTACCTACTCACTTCCGCCTCGGGCTGGCCTTTGCCGTATCTTATAACATCCTTGAGGCTTTGTTTGTGGGTAGCCCTGGTGAGAATATATTACTATAGATACAGGTGATAAAATTTGAATACCGGTATGGCAGGATCGGGGTACGTTCGGGTACAGGATACCAAGACTTTGGATTTGTAAAACAATAGGCCACCCACCGGGTTGTCCCCTTTAAGCCTTCTTTGGCTGCATCTCCAAAGTTTCTTGTGTAATTTAACACCGTGCAAAGTGGATCTTTGTAATAAATGCAGAAGCGAGTGAATATTCTCTACGTGTATTGTCATACGACTCACCAGGTTAAACACGTTTGTGGAAGGAATTGAGACACGATCCCATAAAGTAGTTGCGTGGCCGCTAGGCTTTTTCGGACTTTCACGTAGATCTGTTTTTTCATAAATTCTCGTCAACGGACTTCCGGTTCCTGGAGCGTTGAAGTGATTGACTCCCGAATCCCGCCTCTTAAAATTACTGATTCCCGTGTCCCGTTCACAGTAACAATCCCGCATCTTGCTCCCTTCTTACTGTAAATTCCCGGATCCCGGTCTTCAAATAAGCCTAATCGCGGATCTCGAAAACCTATAGGAAACCCTCTAAATAAACTTTTCACATTGAATATCTCGTGTGAGTGAAGTCAGAACTCGAAATGAGAGGGAATCGAAAATATTTCTACACAAGTAGGCTGCAACTAAGGGTTTGTCATTTAAATATCAAATCGTTTCAAAGGTAAAAATTTGCGGACATATTTTCTCTATTTTTATATAGTCGTGCCGTATTTTTGAATTAAAAGGCTTCATTAGATTCTGGGCAGTTTGTAAAACAGCTAGTCCCATATCTAGTGTTGGTAGTCCTTTCCATTCTATATTTTCCCAAACGTCCCTACAGCCAATCAGTTCTCGTGTTAGTTCCACTTTGTTCCTTCTTCGTCGTTGACTTGTGACTTGTGGCGATGAAAGTCTCTGTCTGTTTCAGTATACTCATCTTTGGATATCAAGGACATTTCTTAAATGATTTTTCATTTTAAATTTATCTTTGCATGGATCTTACTTATACCTCAATTCACAGGTAATGTATTTAACCGGGATTTTGATCGAATATTATGTGTTTACTTTCTTCTTTGGGTTCATCTCATAATGTACCTTTTTTAGCTTAATTTTATTTCGACAGCAGCAGATTGTTGTGGCTCTCAGAATGTATACGGTGTTTGAAGTCAAATCCAAGGAGTCGTATTCTTGTTTGGATAAAATCGAAAGTATGAATCGTTGTAATTTAGCGTCGATCTAAATATTTTCCCTCAGATGGCGGAAGTGTCACATGGTATGAACCAACTCCGGTGAAGACCACATTGAATCCAGCTGAAGTGCTCACCCCTGGCAAGTTACAGGTTAATGAAGGATCCTCTGCCATATTGAATTGGAACTACAGTCTGACGTCAAGTTTAGTTTCAGTTCTTTTACAATTTAATGGTGATGGTATAGTTGTCATTTCATCAAATGGACAAGCTGGTCCTGTTAGTTCTAATTTTCGGCAACGCTTCAGCGTAAGTTCGACTCCACAAAGCGTTTCTCTGTTGATCTCTAAAGTGACTACTGCTGACGATAAGTCAATCGGAGAATTTAGCTGTGAGTTGACTGATCTTGGTGCTGATATATGGAGACGTGAAATTCAGGTGCAAGTCACAGGTAAGCTTAAAAGTTTCACTGACTTTTCAAGATTCACACCATTCAAAACTATAACGTGATATTATCCAGCTTTTGTCCTTTGGGCCCAGTGGAAGTGTAAGTAGACTTTTGGAAGACAAGAATAATTCTTCACGCTAAAGACCTCAACAATCCTTTCAACAAATTAATTGGATATGGATTTTGCTGTGCATGACACGTTATATTTGAGGCAGTTTTCAATGGTACACTTTGCTGCTGTGTTTTCTAGTTGTTGAGGTTAGATGGGGACTTTCCCTTAAAACAAAGACAATGCTTGTAAAAAATTTTTTTACATGCATTGCAAAATATTTGTAGGATAATGAACACAACAGCCTCTATTTTGTGCAAAAACATGCTTGCATATTTGTCCTTGGATATAATCTGTTCCTCAAGGATCACAGTTTTTCGTAACTTGGAACAGATATATGTCCACAGAGGACCTTATGGTGAAAAACTGTGACCGAGGTCTCAAAAATGCTGCCCTAGGCCACAGACCGACCCTTAGCGGGTAATTAATATATTTATTTATTTTTCTAACGTAGTGAAATTCTTTCTGAAAGAATCTGAATGATTTAGGGCTGTAAATACAGTAAGATCGTCCATAAACAGAACAGTTTTTGAGCAAGTAAATGGTATTTATAAAATAGAGGTGATGCAAAACATTTTCATTTGAGTAATTATAAAGATGATTTAAAAGGCTTCCAAACAAACTTTGGAACATTATCTTTACAATTATCTGTCACCATCTGACACCTGTCAATCAGAGAGCATGTAAGGAAAAAAAAAGAGTATGTACACTTTTGAAAAACACCAAAACTAGTTTGGCAAGGACTGTCACAATGTTTTATTCAAAAACAGTCTATGATCTAACAGAACATATTATTCACTCTCATCGACAATTAATTCGTGTACGAAGATTTACCTCTGTTCATCAAGTTAATGGCAAGGAAAGTAATTGTGAGTAAATTCAAATTTTTTATTTTGAAGTTGCGAGAGTTTGCTCGTTTGTTTGCTGCTATGGGGTGTGTAAATCTGGTCTTTCCTCCACAAAAGTTAAATTCGAATGATACACTTCAACAAGACACAAGATTTAATGCAGCCTTTTTTCATTGAATTCCTCCAGTTTCTGTTGTGCAATTTATGGTACAAATGTCCAAATTGAACGGACTTGGAAAGACTCACCAAGAGCGTATATTTGTTGTATAAAACTGAAATCAAAACTTTGCTCACTCTTTCACTATGAACAAATTGTTTGAGAAGATTAAATAAATGAAACTTCCATCAATTAGTTAAACTCTAACCAAATACCTCATGTTTAACTTTCTAGGTACATTTTGTGAATGATTAAAATTAATTATGGACGGTTTTTAGGCTGCTTGTCATGTAACAACACTTTTGCTAATACAAATTCATTCTGAAACCAATATTTTTTCAGTCAACCAAAGTGATTTGAGAGAGTGAAAAGAGAGGATTAATAAGTTATTTATCAGCTTGAGGTTGTGACCAACATCTTCACTTAAAAATACTGCCCCGCTGGAAAAACAAGATATATTTATGAAAAATGGCAGCGTAAGTAGGGATGTACTCAGCGGCTCACAAAAGCATTACCATGGCCCGTGGGCAGAGATAGAAAAATGCTGATTGGTTAAAGAACCAATCAGATTGCAGGATTCATTACCGTGCTCTCTGAAAAAATAAATAATTGTGATTATTTTCAAACCAGATAGAGGCTATTCTTTACATATATATATATATTCGATCGCGTGATGCATTAAGACCAATTGCTTCCAAGCAAATATATTTCAAGGATGATAAGGATATTTATGTGAGAATCATGTGATCACAAATCAATAACAAACTTAGCTGCTCCTTCAAATTTGACATGTTGCTGATTTTTCACAAGGCCAACTTCAATAACGATCTAGTTTCATACACATGTATAACCTTATTAAAAAGATCTAGAAAGTAATTCTTAGCACTCATGGTACATTTAATTCAAAGAGTTTTTGATCACTTTATACTGGAAACTTACAATTGAAATAGCAGATAAATGTTGTAAGACAATCATTATGAGCAATCAGAAATATCAAATTTTTTTTCTCAGAGAGCATGGTAAGGAATCGTATGATCTGACTGGCGCAAAACATCGTGGGAGTCATTTTATGGTGACATGTTATAATTTGCTATTCACACTTTGGTGGTCTTGAGTCCTTAAAGAAATTATTTTTTAAAAGAATATTTTTGTAAACAACTCCTGGGGGTCTCAATATTAATTTCTACAAAACTGTTTCTTGAAACTGCAGCTAAAATAATAATACATAGTTTAAGCTGAAGAAAGAATTCAGAAAAAAACTTAGAGGCCTTTTTAGGGTCCACTGAATTTGTTAAGGAAGACATATTAAAGCACTAACAATAGATTATAATCCAGGGACTGTTCTTGTATTATTTGCACAATCATAGCACACATGAATTTCCCATTGCGAAATGGATTTTGGAATTCCAAGGAATTCCAAGGAATTCCAAGGAATTCTTAGGAATGAAGGTGTGAACTTTCACGATAAATTCAGACTGGGAATTCCCAACCATAACAACTCTGGTTCTAAAAACCCACACACAACCCACAATTCCTGTCTGTCTTTCCGTCTGTCTATCTGTATGTCTATCTGTCTAGCAATCTATCAATCTATGCATCTATCTAGCTATCTACCTATCTGTCTATCTCTCTATCATTCCATCTATCGATCTTTCTTTCTTTCAATCTATCTATTTATTTATCTATCTTTCTATCTATCAATCTCTCCATATGTCTGTCTATCGAACTATCTATCTATCTATCTATCTATCTATCTATCTATCTATCTGTCTATCTTTCTATCTATCAATCTCTATGTATGTAATGTAATGATTTATTCATCTGTGTACGTTTACTAAGATAATTCGATAGATAATGATATTATTGAAATGTTATTCGACTATGATTGACCGGAAATCCTCTTGCAGAAAAAGCATCTGAATCAGAGAGAAAGGACTTGCTGTCTGAACTTGAATTGATGAAACAACTTAAACCTCATCGTTACGTTATCAAACTTTTGGGATGCGTTACCAAGTCTGGTAAATACTGAAAAGTTTATTATCAGCTATGGTTACCGAAAAAAAAATTAGTTTCATTTTTCTCGTTATGTTGGTGTTTGAGCTTAAGATATCTTTCCTCTTAATTTATATGGTATACCGTAATGATTCGATTTGGCGCCTGGGCGCTTATTTACTCTTGGTAGGCAACAGGAGGGTGCTTTTTTGAAACAGGGCGAAGAACCAAGCAAACGACTGGTATTTTTGGGTAAAAGTAGACGACGAGTACTCCATCTTTTTTCGGCGAAGTAAAAAAAAAATTAGTGGAAGCGAAATCGACACAAGAAGTGATGGGTACGAAAAGTAGATACCCTATTTTTCGTGTGCCTCACACCCAGAGGTCCGCGTGGGCCTCTTTGTTTAGGTTAAAGTAACTGTCTTGAAATCAATTCATAGTATGTCACTCGTTGGGTACCTTATTTACTCGATTGATCACCGCGGCGTTTATTACGTTTTTATTGTTTTTGAGGAGGTCTTTGTTGGTACAGTCCATTTAATTCACCCCATCATTTCATTACCCATTATTTCCATCTCTGTTAACTTCTGGGAAAATCGGCTGACCGACGCTTAAAGCTTGGGCATATTCTATTCTTGCGTGCACGTGTGAGGTCTCGATAGAGTTAATTTGACAGCAAAGAAGTAGTCACAGTTGTATACTGTCCGCTAAACAGCAGCATATGTATAATCAATAAGTGAGATCTACGATCAGCAAAATTTACTGGTGGACCAAAAATGGGCCGACACCAAAACTGCGTGCTTAAGGTTTGCACACATGTTGCGGATTTAAGCCGGTCAGATGTGAGTACTCTATGAGGGCGGGAACCTCTCCGGTAGTAGACCTTGAAGATAAACATGACCCGCTTTAAATAAAAGTTTGATACGATGTCAGTTCAGTGGCATCGACATTTTACTCCTTCACAATTAATTTTCCGAGTTTAGAAACTTATGGCTACTTTGCTTCTAAAATAGACTTGTCAGAATTGTGAATATTACCGAGTTATATGATAGTTGATATTTTATTTTCTTATAAACGTTGAATAATTGTCGTACTCTTCCAAGTGGCTGTGGCGTTTATTGTAGAATGACGTTTATTGTTAATTTTGCTTCCATCTGCGGCATATAATCAAGTATTCGCGGAAATCTGTTTGTCTCCCTAGAGCCACTGTTTGTGCTGATCGAATATGTTCCTTTTGAGGATCTGCTGGGTTACCTGAGAAAGAGCCGTGGATTGAATGATACTTACTACAAAGACCCGGATATCAAACCACAAACAAATCTGACCTCACAACAGCTGGTTAAATTTGCTTGGCAAATTGCTGATGGAATGTCTTATTTGTCATCGATACCAGTGAGTGAATGACATTCTTATAGAATAAGGCCTTATTTGTTACTCAATATTCCTCACTTTCCATTGAATCGTGGACTCGCTGCCTAGGATGTCATCTGAGTCACCCCTAAGTCTCTCGTTTCGTTAAATGGTGTTTTCCGAAAGAAACGTTTTCTCTTTGTGTAAGGTTATTCATAGAGATCTTGCAGCTCGTGATGTGTTGGTTGGAGAGGACGTAACATGCAAAGTGACGGACTTTGGAATGGCCAGAGATGTGCAGGAGGACAATATTTATGAAAGAAAAACCAGGGTATGAATGATTTTAAGAAAACATATAATGTTCTCCCAAGTCTTTGATTGTGTGTCTTAAGATGCCTCACTGGAGTGACTGCTCAAAGAAAAAATCTCAGTAAATCCTGTTCCGTTTTCCAGAACTTTCGTTACAGTGTTGTCGCCATTGGGAGCATTAGTAATTTTTAAGGACTACGCTAACTCCTCGCATTTTTGCTTCTTATTCAGAAGCGTCTCCCTGTAAAATGGACTGCCATTGAGGCGTTGCTTTATGGAAAATATTCTACCAAGAGTGATGTGTGAGTACAAGGAAGACATGGACACTGCACTAAGCTAAATGAAAATGGTTTTTTATGAACTTTTTTCAGGTCTGCAAAAAGTTATTTGGTTACTTTTGCATTTTGGTCTTTTTATTTTGCTGGTGTGAGGTTATCTCAGTGAGGAGTGGTTATCCTCATATTTCATGGTTAGTGACCAGGGATCAACTCCTCTGACACTGCGCATGTGTCCCTCCCCACCCTATTTCCCCTTCCCTTGAACACCAAAGATGTTTTAACATTTTACATTTTATTACATTTTTTTGCAGGAAAGAAATTTTATTTCCTTAAATTCATCCCGTTTCTTTTACAGGTGGAGCTACGGAGTTCTCCTCTATGAGATTTTCACGATTGGTAAGTTACTAGGCAGATTGCCAGTCCAGTCATTTTAGCCTCAGTAACTGGGGGGGGGACACGAAGTCATGAAGTAAGCAAGGTTTATCAGTCT